GCGCCAGAAGACCGCGGTGTGCATTTTTTGTTATTGTCGGTTTCAGACTTTGTCAGTAAATTTTAACCACTTAAATTTATCTTAAAATAATTGTAATCACAACAACACTTTTCTAAAATTTATAAAAACATTTACAAAATTTTATATCAAACAAAATCTTAAAAAACATGAAAATTTTTATTGCTTCGGTTGCACCGATAATATAAGACTTTTTCACATTCAGTCAAATGTCAAATGAAAAGTATGAAAAAAATTGCTGTCTTGCTTGAAACCAGAATATTCATACAAATAAATATTTTATTTGTTATTGTTGCTATTTCATAAATGTGATGCGTGTGAGAATGAGTTGGCTAGTGTAGTGAAACATATGATTTTGTTTTTAGTTGATTTAAACTGACAGGGCTGTTATATTTAAATTTTACAGAAAAATTACTGTTAGTTAACATTTGTGCTTAACAGAAATGCTTTGCTATGTTGTTTAATGCTATAAATTCTTTAAATAATTTATTTTGTTTTTATATAAAGAATGATTGATTAAATTCTTTATTTAATAAAGAAAGAAAATATTTAATAAATTTACAATAGATTAAAGCTAAAAATTTCATGTCTTCATATTATAAATGTTTGAATTGTTCATATGCTGTATGTGAATAATTAATTAATAGCGTTTTTTATTGGTAAATCTGGTTTTAATCTAGATTTACTTTTGATCTGTCAAATTTAGTTGCCTAATCGAACATTTTAAGAGCAATTTAACATTTTTGTAGTAGTGTTAATATATATTTATATATATTATATATACGTATATCAAATCACACTTTGTCTGTCAAATCATATAAAACAGCTGTTAATTTTAGGGTAATCTAGCTTTTCTAACAAAATATCTAAAGTGTTATACATTTTGCCCCAGATTAACTAATCGAAAATAAAAGTTCACTAAAAGTGCATTAAAAGAGCTTATTATAAGAGTAAATACTGATCTAGACTGATAAAGGCCTTATAAGGCTTATAAACGTATAAATTTATCTGCTTTATAAATGAAGGGTGAAATTCTGTAGGAGAAATAATTTACAGAAATGTAATAAATTTACACGAAAATTTTACCGAATAAATATATATCGTATAGATTTACTTGTTGTCAATACAAAGCTGCATTCCAACACAAACAAATCATTTACAAAAATATCTTTGTAAATATTTTTTAGTTTGGACTTTTCGCTCAATTTCGGTATTTTATTTTATAATTTATTGATAGCGACACAGCTGATGAATAAAGTTTGCACAATTATTTAAAATTTTAAAATTGCAACGATATCAGGTAAAAAATTACGCTGCTAAGCATTGCATTTTGTGCCTAGATAAATAGTGCTGTTATACACCAGACTGATAAATTTACACAAATATTTCACTAAGTGCGTTCATATAAAAGTGTACCTAAACGCATAAAACTATACATTTGATAAATTTATATGCTTAGATGAGTTCCCCTAATAGTTATATTTTGTTTTATAGATTTTATATATAAAAATTTATTTAAATCGATGTAGTTATATTTTATTAAATATTTCATGAAATATATATAGTATGTAAACAGTAAATGTTTTCAAATAAAGGAGGAGTCCTTATGAATTCTATTTGGCATACGAAACTTTTGCTAAATAGCTAAAATGCTAAAATATCGAGTTTGTGGTAAATATTTTATTTGTTAAATGTTAAATTCGAATTTTGCTTGACATTTTTTTTAACTTTTTGAATTTATATTTTAGCGTGTGTGTATTTTTGAAATATACAAATAGAGTCACATAAACATTTTTTTGTATTGATACATTGAACTCTGTTCTGTAGAGCACATTTACGATTTTTATATTTTGCAATTTAACATGCCTTTAGAATACAAAATAAAAATCGTGAACAGGCCTAATGCCAAATACCTCATTCCATAGATACGAACAGCACATGGTCATGTTATATTTCTGATAACTAAAATGAAGCTTAAGAACTTTTATACACAATATATTATTTTGATATGTGTATATAGATGTTTAGAGTGATTGACTGACTAGTTAGCAGGCAAATTACTAATGTTTTCTTTATCTAACACAACAATTATCAATCATATTGCACCTAACATGAGCTATGATTCATGAAGCTTAATGAAAATAAAAAATGAGTAGTGAGGTTTAAAATTTAAAGTCTTAATAAAAAAATACGCTGTAATTTTTGACGAAAGAAATGCAATATCATAATAAAATTCTCTCCAATATAAATATAAAAAAATTTTGAATTGAGCTTTGATAACATAGAAGAGTGAGCAAGAAATGCATATGCATATATTATTTAACGCTGCACGTTCCCTTCTAATTTCATGGGAGGGTTTTTTGAAGTAATGTGTACTAAAAAATTATTACCTAACATTAAGGATAACCTCTGCTTTGAAAATGGTGATAAAAGGGGAACTGTATTGATCTATTGCTGGCGTCACAGTGATAGACCAATATAAAACACATTATTGCTTTCTAGGAAATCAAAACTGATTATTTTCCTAGAAAAAACAGCTATCAATAAAAAAACAGAATATATAGAGGAAGTGCTTTTATGAGTTTTAAAGGTAAGAGCAGAAAAAGTACAACAGCATATGCCATATAGTAAGTGCTAACGTTCTTATTATAATATATACCAACTATAATAAAATTTTGATAAAAGTTATGACATTATTCTTGTCTTCTATTTGGTTTGTGTTGGATCTCATTACATTGTGTATAGAATGAAGTTATGAACAACGAAAAACAGGATTATCCATTTTGTGATTCCGAAAGGTAACTCATAACTGTACTTCAGTGGTATGTCTTATTTTAAATGAGATGGGTATGTTACCAAATCAAATTGTCACATCTGCGGTACTCAAAATCTATAAGTAACAATCGAAACGCCATTCATATGGCGTGGTATTTAGTCTTAAGGTAAGATAGATCCGTACTATCTTGAAAATGAAAAAGGAATGATACAAACCGTATTTAGTCTGGATGTAGGATAGGTCCATACATTCTTAAATTTGGGAAAGGTCTGATACAAACAATCAATTCTTATATTTTGCAGTCACGTGACTACCAATTATTTTCAGCAAAAAAAAATTTTAAACAACAACCACAAAACATGTTTTATTGCGTTTATGCGAAATTTGTCATCATTGCATTTTTTTTTTTGTATGAGGTTACGTAAAGGATCCTCAAACTTTTCATGCTTCGATTACGAATTTCCGTCAATTTATGGCAGAATTATTGCCGAACATGTGTCGAGAAGTTATTAGAAATTTAATTAAAGGGATTAAGTACTGTAAGATGTCTTTTAGATCACATTTGAATAATAAAGTATAGCACACAAAAAAAGGAAGGTCCAGAAAATACTTTGAATTGATCGATACCTCAATTACAGTTGTTTTGTTTATGAAACCATAAATTAGAGAATCCTGTAGTAACCATTATTAATCGTTTTGTTGATAGCCTGTGAACTTGTCACTTATCTGCAATTGTATATATTTACGTGTCTTGTATCTGTACTCTTCAGAAAACATTTATGCTTTACTTATAACGTAAAGTAAATATTATGCTTCGCTTAGGACCGGTGCATACTAGCGAAACGCACCTGCATTGCGTTTCCACAATACTATAGAAATGTTTTCCATTCAGTCCTTAAAGGTGGTTTTAGTGGGTTCAAGTCTCACAGTGTGGCTTTCAATACTTTCCATCTACTTCAAAAAAAAAGGGTTTTAAAGCTCGAGATAAGTAGTTTGCTTCATTTAAAGCTCGCAATAAGGATTATACAAATAATTGCTTAAATCATTCTGTTGGAAAACAAGTTGGAAAAGATCAACGACATATAGACTTTTGTATAGAAATTAGCTTTTCATTAAGAGAAAGAAAGAGCTGTGAGTAAGTAGAACTAAGTGTCCGCTTATCTCTTTTATCAAGATCGTTCGTATATGCAATAAAGATTAAACATGTTCTAAACTTGCTTCTCAGAGGATCTAAATCTGTTACAAAATATGTTGTTCGTTTGAACAGTGGAGGTTCGAAGTGGCTTTAAACTCTCTTACCTAGGAAATCCGTCCCATCACTGCAATAACCTTAATAAGTGTAGAACCAGACATAGTTTTTTAACTCAGGATAGACAGATAGTTTTTGAATGATCGTCCATTATTCAATTTAGTCAATTTAAATAGATCAGAAATTCTCAGTTTGGGATTTCTTATTTTTAAGGATTTTTTAATTGAAAAATTTTTTTAATTATTTTTGACAAATCCTGAAGCTCGTTTTAAAACATTTTTTTACTATATTTTACTTTTACAGTTAAACTTAATTATATTTTATTTAATGTTTTGTATTTTGCCTCTTATTTTATTTTCAATTTTTTTTTTTTGGAATATTTTTTATTAAATTTATTATTCAGTGTACTTAATTTTTTTTTTATGTTTATATGTTATTATCTTTTGTTTTTAAAATATTTTTACTCAAAAAAAATTATTAGGGATAATCACTCTGTCTTTTGCAAACTCATTGCAAGGTGCACGAAATGTACCGATTTTAAGAGCTTGCAACGACCAATAACAAAATACACGCATAAAGTTTCTTGCAATTGCTTGCAATCTTGCTATACCTAAACAAGCTTGCAACGAAAAAAAAAGAAAAAACAAAACAGCTGTTTTGGCAGCTGTTGCTCTTCATGTGGAAGTGGTATAATGCAAGTACAGCTGTTTTATTTTGATGTTGCAATTCTGCAACAGAGATGTTTTCGAACTCTTGCAATTTTAGTATAGCATTCTTGAATTTTGTGCACTTTGGAATGACTTTGCAAGACAGAGTAACTTTTATTGATCAGTGTTCTGTTTCTCGCAATGCAACTGTTATTATATTTACTTTAAAATAAAAAAATAAAATACTTTTTCGAATAATGTTATGTAGAGTTTTAAAGATTTACTTTTTTATTATTATTTTTTAGCTTACCTTTCTCATCATTTTGCTCGTCGGTGGATAGTTTACGTTCAACAGGACTTGATTTACCAGATGCGCTAGCTCCTTTTTCATCGGTGGTACCTGTGGAGCTTGTTGTTGAGGCATCATCTTTCGCGCTCTTATCCGGTACTAAGAGTTGTTGTCCCGGATAGATGAATGAGCTATTCAAACGATTCAAATGTGTCAATTCCGATGGAGTGGTATCAAAACGAGCAGCTACTGAGGTTAGTGTATCACGATTGCCCACAGTGTAGGAGATTGTGGGTATTGTGGGCAGCGAAGATTTTTTGCGTTCATCTGTAAAAACAAAAAAAAAACCGGAAAATGAAAATTAAATAAAAAATTAACAGAAAACTGTAAAAGAAAATAATTTCATAAAGAAAAAAAAATTAATTGGAAAAAATTATTATTTAAAATGAATAAAATAGAGTAGTAATTTTTTATGATAGCACAGTTAATATTGATTTATTTTAACCATGTAATAATCTTTATTCAACTGAAAATAAAAATAAAATAAATTTATTTTGTGTGTGTTTACTTTTCTCAAATGTTGTTGTTGTTATTGTTGTTTGTTGTGGCGTTTGCTGAAAAACAATAAATTCATCGCTCGCAGGAAAAAATAAATGATGAAATTGTGGTGTTGTTGTAGGTTTTTGTTGTTGATGTAATTGCAGCAATTCTTGCTGTTCAGTAGCAACAACAGTATCGCTAATGCTGTCATCATCGTTGCAATTTTTTAGCGGATTACTCAGATAGATCACAACAAATTCACTTAAATTACTTTCACAGTTGCGCTTATAAATTTCTACACACTCCATTTTTATATGTGTTGTATATATAAAAATTTGTTCTTAAAAATATTTATTTTTAAACTTTATAAAAAAATATTTCGAACATTTTTTTCACTTTAATTGTTTAGTGACTTTTTGTATAAAAAAAAAATTTTTTTAAATTATTTCAACCTTCGAACATATCAAAAAAATGTCTAAAATTTGACAATTTCAGTTGCATTTGGTTTGTCAAATATTTTTTGTATTGAAGTATTTCTTTTATAAACAATTAACAAAAATTTGATTATGAATTAAAGCAAAGCAGTACAGAGAAACGCTGACTGCGTCGTTTTCTATTGGACGTGTTCGACTTCTGCTCTACTCAGTTTGTTTCGTTAAGTGCCTTTACTGAGGGCAAAATTGTAACTAAAATCAAACAAACAAAAATTATGAGGCAAATATGAAAACTGCAGACTTTAAGTGTTAATGTCGCTCAGGCAAAACTGCTGTGTTTTCTGATAAGTTAGCATTTATCAAACCGGCAATATACGTTAATTGTTCATAAAGTATTTATGTTTCAGTTTTAAGGGTTCATGGGGTATTTGAAACCCTTTAGTTGAAGCCACTTCTTAAACATTTAGCAACAGATGGAATGTCAGGGTCTTGGCAAGATGTGAACAAATTAAACTAATTATTATATTATTTAATTATATATTATATTACTATATTTGTTTACAAACATTGCAATACATAATCCAAAGGTGATTTTAATACTACAAGCGCCTTGGACAAGATTGATTCGGTGATTCGTACTATTACTGAGCATATCATTGAATTTAAATTAGCATAGCTATTCGCTATAGCGACTTCGGTAATAATATTGTACCAGATGACTAGTCAGATCAAGTGCAAAGATCAGAAGATGTAGGTTAGGTTATACCGGCTATCCCTACGGGACGCACTTAGGCCTATTGGCTCATTATATTACCGTATAATAAAGATACTCGGAGTTTAAAACCACCTAGATCTCAAGGAAAAGGGCCCCAAAAGTGTGCAGTGGCCCTCATGCATGAGCTGCGCAAAGACAAAGGAGATAAGAGGCACTTCATTGTCTTCCTCTCAGCTGCGACAGGTACGATTCAAGGGAGATTTAATCGTCTAGTATAGTTATCTAATTCGCAATGAACTGTAAGCAAACCTAGCATAAGATTGATATCTCTACGGGGCATCTCAATGCGAGAGATTGGATTTAATGAAAACCCAATGAGAAAGAGGAAATAAGAAAGAGATTAGAACGACGCTTACATCACCAGCCGAAGATTTTAAGTGGCCTTTCCAAAAATGCTCTACACAGCAAAATATATAGTCTTGAATTTTGAAAATCCCTGGTTACGACACTTACATTACCAATCGAACATTATAAGCGACCTTCTCAAGATTTGCCCTCAATAAAAAAATATCTAGTCTGGAATCTTGGAAATGCTATTTCGTGTTTAAGAAATATCTTAATGTGCTTACGGTTACGCTGAAATCTGTAAACAATGCTAACCCAAATCTGTTACTGGGATGACGAGTGTCATTAAGTTTGTGTTTTCTTATTTAAATTATCACAAATTACTGTAAAAAGTATCACAATCCTATGTCATGTCATCTGGGATTTTGTGATTAATTTAAAATTTATTCTGCGTTGACAGTTAAGAAAATTTTTCTTAGTGTCATCGAATTCTAATGGTTTATTTCATGCTATGTATTTAATTTTTCTACATATATAAATTTCACATTTTTGGAAGTATGTTACATAATTATGATGATCCTAGAAATCCATTTAATTTTGTTTACGCACTTTGTTGCGACATAAAACTTGAAGTGCTCAAAACAATTTTAAACCCTCTATGAAGCCCAAGAAGCTCTTTAATGGGACGTCTTGTAACTGACCAAAATTCTTGTGAAGGTAAGTTCTTAGCATAATATCTGAATTTTATATCATACATTATTACGAAAAATGTAAAATGACATTCATTCTAGGACGCAAGTAGATCTTTTATAAGTTTTTTGCATAATGAAAACATTCGCAATAGTCCGGAATTGAAAAATGTATGTACTTCATTTAATAACGTAACATTTAATAAACATTATGTGTTTTAATATAGGAAGACTCAATTAGTCAAAATTGGCAGAAGACTTCAGCTTATTTTATAGTTTAACAATGTGTCTATATCAACAGTTATTGACTACTTTCACAATTATTTATTTTGCTCCAATAAAATTTATATTAATAAACAAACTAAAAACATGAGAATTATAATCTCAATAACTTCCATAAGGTTTTTATTAATCTACACTTTTAAATTTTTATGTTAGAAGATAATATTTATACTCGGTTATAGGTAGATACATTATGAATGGTTAGAAAACTGGTTAAAAAGCATTTAATTAGAAGTTCATTAGCAAATAAATAAAATTAACGAGATGATTGCAACATTTTTATACCTTTTACAGATATGTTATTTCTATCGTTGAAAGGTTTATACTAATAATAATATTATATTAAACACTAATACTTAAGAGATCTAATACCAAATGGAAATATCTAATACTGAGATTTTTATACAGATGTCATATAAAGTAATGAATAATTCTTGTATGTTTTTAAATTATAAATAAAGAATACTACTACTACTATTAAGTAATGGTTTTGATAAAAGTTAACTTAAATGATTTTTATGATTAGAGTGCACCAAAACTCTGCTTATCTTAACTCTGCTTATTGTTTACTGTTAGAAATTTGTGTTTAGAAATCGGTTTCTATTCCACAATAGGAGATATTCTAATATCTCCTAGTAGAAAAAATCCCTTGAATAAATAGATAATAGATAATAAGTGAAGTTATGTGTTATTACTATTATCATTATGTGGGTCCTTAAGATCTATTGTGCCCCTGTTATGTTATGTGTAATCATGTAGTAAAATGTGTTTTAGAACTCATTTGGAACTATAATAAAGAAAAGTAGTATGTATTTTTTAAGAATTTTTTTTAGAACTAATATTTAATGTGTTGAAACCAAAAAAGTCAGTCAACAATTTATGATTCCACAGTATTTTTGACAGAATACGTTGATTGTAGAACACATTTTGTTTTAATTCATGTATGTTTTGAATCGATATTTTTATTTATTTTGAAGTTATTAAAAGAACAAAAAGAAAAAATCTACAGGAAAATATTTAGCTTATCGGAGACGACCGGAATTTCTTTTTAGAAATTGTCTGGTACATGAAATATTGACATTAATTGTTGATACATATTAATATTGACAATGATATAATTAAAAAAAATGTAAAGTATAAATAAATAATCACAAGGAATAAAGAAAATATTATTATTATTGCTAATAATAAACGTATCTGGGCTTTTTAAAATATATTATTTATCAAATGTAAAAAGATTGTACAATATACTTAATAAAGACCTGTAAAATCATTTTCTTTAGCTCTCTAATATCTTTAAAAAAATCATGCACTTAAAGCTGATCACTTATATTAACATTTTTGTTAAATTTGTTTTTATTGATTATTGAATACTGCAATATAATTAGAAACGTTCAAGCGTAATCATTCGCTCATTGCTTGCGAAGATACTTAGCAACCTAATAGTTTCACTAAAATGCATTTCAAAATCTCAAGTTCATCAATGTCATCAATTCGTGCATTTCCTTACTTACATAAAAGATTGACCAGACATAAGCATAACATATTGATATTAAAAAAGTCTAATAAAATCACATACTGTTGAAATAGAATATTAGAAAGATATATAGACTTACATAGACATATAGAAACATAAATAGAAATTATTTGTAATTGAATTTAATGAAATGGTATAAGAACTAATGAATATAATTGAAATGTTAATTCACTAAAGATAAATATAAATAAAAATAATACATATAATAGATAAGTATATAAAAATTGAAATGTTAATTCAGTAGAGATAAATATCTATAAGAACAATATATAAGACAAATACTCCTATATAAAAACTGAAATAGTTTTGAAAAAACAAAAAAAAAAAAATATAACTTGATGGAAATGGATAGAAAAAAATTAAATATATATATAAAAATATTAAACTAAAATAAGTATATATAATATTTATAATATATAATAAAAGTTTAAAGACGCCGAATTGTAAACGATATTGGATGGAGATGACACTTTGGGTCAAAAGCAAATGGCAGAAATGTTAAATGTTGCACAACAAACAATTTCTGACCGTTTAAAAGCTATGGGAAAGATCGAAAAGTGTGGAAAATGGGTGCCACATGAATTGAATGAAAGACAGATGGAAAAGCGAAAAACCACTTGTGAAATTTTGCTTCAAAGACACGAAAGAAAATTGGTTTTGCATCGGATTGTTGCTGGCGATGAAAAATGGTTTTATTTTAAGAATTCTAAACGGAAAAAATCATGGGTTAATCCGGGACAACCATCAACATCGTCTGCAAAACCAGATCGATTCGTCAAGAAGAC